TCCAACTATTTTGGGGATAGCTCTTTAATAATGAATACGTCTTCTAGGAAGGCAATTAAACAATTTTTTTTTCAGAAATGTATACTTCGTGAAAGAATTCTAGGTTCTTATTTTCATGGAAAGCTCCAATTCATTCAGTGCCATTATGATATTCACTAGGTCTGATCAGGGGAAATTATTTATAAAAACAACAATTTTTAAAAAAAGAAAATATTTCCTTGGTTTGATTTGGAACTGGCTGGGCCTTAACTTTCTAAAGAATCTCAAATGTACCGCTTCACAAAGATATTCAGAACTGTGGAAAATTTTGTTAGGTGGTACTTTCAAACAAGATCATTTCTTTAAAATATCTTAGAATTTGAAAACCTCTCTGAAGAGCAGAGGTAGTCTAAGCTTATTTAATTTCAAAATACATGTTTACTTGCATGAGAAAAATACTGGTAGTGAAAAACTTCAGACGTTCAGAACAAGGTCCAATTCTGACCTACTGCAATAACTTTTATTTCCTTTCCTCAGGTCAGTGTGCAAGTGTCTCTATTTTTATCTTCACAATCATCTAGTGACGATAATTAGGCTAAGAATATAAGATCAGCCCCAGATCACTTTGCATAATTTCTTTGTGAAATTGGAAGTGAAACTAGGCTTAATGCTGAGTCACACTAGGGCTGTATATTTATGTACATTAAGTGGCAACCACTCTCCAGGTGAAGGGACTTGGCCAGTTTACACTCAGATACAGGTAGTCTTTGACTTACAACAGTTCATTTAGTAACTGTTTGAAGTTACAACGGCACTGAAAAAAGTGACTTGTGACCATTTTTTACACAACTGTTGCAGCATCTCTGTGGTCATATGATCAAAATTTGGATGCTTGGCAACTGACTCATATTTATGACAGTTGCAGTGTCCTGGGGTTATGTGATCATTTTTTCCAACCTTCTAACAAGCAAAGTCAATGGGGAAGCTAGATTCACTTAACAACTGCGTTACTAACTTAACAACTGCAGTGATTCACTTAACAACTGGCAAGAAAGTTTGTTAAATGATGCCAAGCTTGGTTAATGATTGTCTCAGCTAGCAACATAAATTTTGGGCTGAACTGTGATCATAAGTCAAGGACTATCTGTACTAAAAACAAACTCTTTTTTATAGTATTCATGTGTTTGATTATGCCATGCAAGTGCAGAAATCCTATCATAGTGGCTATTTTCCCTCTTCCAGTATATCTTTTTCCTGGAGAATTAACAAGTTCAGGTCTGTGCAGCTTTGAAAGATTTCACTCAGTTGAGGCATTGCATCAGTCTCAGTTTAAAAAGTTTTGTTATGATTAGACAAAAATGGTTTGTAATCTGGTCTCAAATCTGTACCACAGGTTGAAGTAGATCTGCTTCAGGAAACCTGTCCTGCTAAGGATTTTCCACAGTGTGTAAATTAAGCAATAAACCTTTCCATTGTGAGGGTTCTTTTTTTCTAAGATTTGGAATGTTACTTTAGGGCAGTGGTTCTCAACCTGTGGGTCGGGACCCCATTTGGGGTCGAACGACCATTTCATGGGGGTTGCCAAACAACGCAGTCCGCCATTTTTTCCCCTTTTTCCTTAGCTGTGCTACTCCCTTTTATTCTATTGGCTTTTGAAAGCCAATAGAATAGAGTCTCTTGAATAGAAGAGTAGCTTCTATTGCCAATAGGAATTGTCCAGGCTGTCTCTGCCCTGCTGAGCCCGCCAAAAGTCCCATTCTGCAAACGGTGCTGCAATTGAGTAGCCCTCGACTTACGACCGGCTGAGTAGTCCTCGACTTACGACCGGTTGGGGGTCGTGGCATTAAAAAGATTGAGAACTACTGCTTTAGGGTTTAAATCTGATTTACCTTTTGGTTCTTCCTCATTCCTAATGTGCCACTAGACACTGAATTACCAAAATAAATATGTATGCAGGATTATTACTTTCTGCTAATTATTTTTAATTTTTTTCTTTGATAAGAGTACAGTGACTTTTTCTTTAACCATTATTCCTGTCAGCTTTTTGGTTTGTTTGTCAATTTGGTTTTTTTAGGGCAGGCATTTACGATAATGTTAGTTTATGTCTGGAGCCGCAGAAATCCTTTTGTTCGCATGAATTTCTTCGGGCTTCTCATCTTTCAGGCCCCATTTCTTCCATGGGTCCTCATGGGATTTTCACTTTTATTGGGAAACTCCATTATAGTAGATCTTCTAGGTAAGATGATTCTGTCAGTAAATGAACTATAATAAAATCCTTGTCTTGTTGATCTGCCTTATTCCTTAAAAGTAGTTATCTGCTTTTTTGATTGTGCATACTAAAACTGAGATTTTAAGGGCATTTTTAATACAAAGTTACAATTATGCAATATATTGATAGTCCCTGAGGAATCCCAGCATAATTACAGCAGCCATGATTACACTGTTAGAAGATGTGACGAGTCGGATCATTCTGGAGGAGGATTATCTATGTAGTTATTAAAAGTCATCCTTAACTTGATGGCACATAATAAAAAAATAATCCTTGGCAGCAGCCTCTTTTACTCATTATGAGGGAATACAGATTTGATTACCTAGCTTAATAATGGGAATTATATATACTTCACAGAATGTAAAATGCAGAATTCATAAAAGCACTACTGTGCTGCTTGTTGTCTTACAGTTTACGTATGAAAAAAGAGGCCAAGAAAAGCAATTCTATGTATAAAAATCTTATAGGAACAGCTTGCAAAATGTAACCTGAGGTGCTTCTTCTTAAAATAAATGAACTGATGGTGTGAAAAACTATTAAATGTTTTAAATTTTAAAGCAGCAGGAGTAGATTTTGCGTCCACCTAAATATTCACACAGTTGGAAAAGGAAACTTTTATGAAACAGGCTTTTAAAATGCCTTCTCCAAACTGGAGTGATTAATGTTGGGTAGTTGGGTGCTTTTTAGACTTTTATAATAAAACAATGTTGTATTTCAATATTTCCCCCCCTCTTCTCTAGGCATTGCTGTGGGTCATATATATTTCTTCTTGGAAGATGTCTTTCCAAATCAGCCTGGGGGAGGAAGGCTTCTAAAAACTCCATATATATTGTAAGTGCTTTCTATTATTTTTTAATTTATTTTTTAATTTAAATCATTTATATAGCTGCCCATCTTATAGGCAACTCTGGGCAGCTCCCAATCAAAAATGCTTTCTTTTGTGAAGGGTATAAACTGAGAGGGAAGAGACAGAATAAACTGTACTCAGACTAATGCAAAACAGTTGTATTCAGCAAGAGAATTCCAAATGGACAAAGATGGAATTTAATCCACACTGAATTCTGGATTACTGTCTTAATCTCCCAGATTTCTCCACTGTTTTCCAAGCTTGGCTTAGTTGATCGTACCTAAGAGGTGTATAATTAAATGGAATTTCCAGAGGAAGTCTATTTTGATATTAGAGCACATGTTTCACTTGATGAATATCCTGAATTCAAATCCATCATGTATAGATAGAGCTGGGAATAATATCTAAAATCTAGAGAAACACTGTAAGTTAGCAAAATACTGATCTAAATGGATTGGTTGCCTGACTCAATATACAGTGTCAGATAATTGCTGTGGAGAATATTTGTCTATAAGTACTGTTTGTTGGATTTATAAAAGCATCTGACTGGTTACTTACAGAACATTGAATAGGTGTTCTTTTTGAGCTCAGACCTTTTCATATGTCATTTACCATGCTAGACTGAACCATATCATCTTAGAAAAGTCTAGTAGATTTTAAATCCAGTTAGAATTCAGTTTATATCTACACAAAGGAATAATCAGTGATAACTGATTAACTTGATAAATATCAATAACAAGAGCTAAAAAAAAATCACCCTATCCTACATTGCTGCTTGGGCTTGATGAAAGCTGTATTTGGTATATCTGGAGAATATCAGATTGGGGAAAGCTGTAATACAGTCACAAGAAATTAATTTAGAAGCAGCATTTAAAAGAAACTTTTTAACAAATTGAGAAATACACAATATATGCAGTTCAGAACTGTGGGAACTAATGGTTCTTCCTAAGCCAAATATACATTACTAATTCTGGCCACCTGCTCTTTCCAATTACCCTTGAGGCAAAGGAGAAAAGAACATGTTGGCAGAAATTATGGAGCTTTAAATGTTTCCCTTCTGTTAGTAATGTATGTACAATTTTCTATTTCTATTGACTTGAGCATTATATATATATATATACATATATTGTTTAACAGGAAACTAATATTTGATACTCCAGAAGAAGATCCCAATTACAATCCATTGCCTGAAGAAAGGCCAGGAGGTTTTGCATGGGGAGAAGGTCAGCGCCTAGGAGGCTGAGATCCAGCAAACATCTTTGACGAGAGACTAGGCAAGCAAACGACTCTGGAGAATGGTTCTGTTCTCTTGTGCATAAAGGAAGTTTTGAGAACGCTGAATATGCAAAACATTTTTTCAAAAATGAAAAAAAAATCTGATCAAAAGACATTTTGCAAAAAAACTGACTTCAAACCCTCTTGGAGACTCTTATATTGATTTGTTTAGAAATGAATGATCCAAGCCAAGGAAAACTGGAAATGCACATTCTTGTGTTCTTCAGTTCATGTGTAAAAAGAAAGATTTGTAAGGCCCTTTTAGTTTTATTTCATACAGGACTGGGTAACTACAGAAGATGAATAAAACTGTTTATTTTATTTTTCCTTTTTCATTACATAATTAAACAAACAAGCTTACTTGACTTGCTGGCCATGGCAACGGTGCCTGTGAAGCAAACTACAACTGAAGAGCCTCTTTTTTTCTCAGAAGATTTGGGCAGATTTTATATGCTAAATTATGTTAAAGTCTTTGTGTTTACCAAAACCGGTTTACTGTTATGTTTGCAGTGTAACCTCCAATGTTGGCCAGGGACCAAGGCCGCTGGTTGATAAGGTTTCATATGTAAATTGTAAAATTGGTTAGCTATAAGGTACAACCCATCTTCCTTATATACAGTGTTATATATTCTCTTAAAAGCAGATTTCTCGTGTGGGGTTTGGGATAGAGTCAATGTAGATAGATTCTATATAAGTTTGACTTTTATATCTTCAATTCCATTGGCATCTTTACTATTTTTCTATTTCATGGAACATAATTTGTCTTCCTTTATTGCTACTCCGACAGGGAATTTCTAAGAAACTAAGAAATAATACTGTTTCATACAAATGTCATGACAGACAGCACTGGAAGAATGAAAGTTCTAAGCTATAATTTGCTCAAAATATCTGTGTTATGAAAGACCAGTTCTCTTCAGGGCTTTATTTAGTCTTTTGTGTGGGAGAATTACCTTCCCAGTTTCACACTTAAATTGCTGCATAGTGGCCTTAGCATCCCACAAAATAAAAGACAGCTGGAATCCCAAAATCATAAAATTTTGTAACATCTTAAGATTATTGTACTCAAGGTCTTGGCCAATTAAAAAAATGTGAGAATTCAGGAGTTGAGCTGCAGTCTAGGAGTTTGAAGAGTGCCAGGTTATTAAACCATGACATTCTTAAGGTAGAACAAATTCTGATGATCCATTTGGCCTTCAGGCAGTCTTTAATCATTCTATATGTTCTCTGATAAGCAGTCAGCCCTCCTCATTACTTAAACCACAGTTGTTGGTATTGTCCTGATAACTGCATTGCTGTCACTAGCTTTTCCCCATTTCCAAACTTAAAAATGCTCATTTAAAACACAGCACCAAACAAGCATACTCTTGTGTGCGTGTGTGTGCTGATTTCTAAAAATTTGGAAGTAAAATTGGACTTGACGTAGATTGAAACTACTTTCATTCTTCTTCATGGACAGACCTCCCCTAGATTAGGAATGTAAAATGTGTAGATCAGCACAAATTGTCAGTAACTGTTTTATGGGTAAATAGTCAAATGTTTGGGCTTTTTTTTACATTTTTAATGGCCCAAGAGGATAAATGTATGTATTAACTTTAGATGATTCTTTTAATGGAGTTATATAAGGAAGATAAACTGAACAGATTTAACATTAGATAAGTTTCATAAAGTTGGCAATGGCACCTTAATACAGATAACTCTGATGTTGGGAGGGTGGAGTATAGCACTGCCTCTGAAGCCCAGTATTGATAAGGATGCTAAATTTTATTGTATTTGTTTGCTGCCCAACTCTCCTCAGGGCAACTCTAAATACTTTAAACAGTTGAGAATCAGAAAAATTTATACAACCACCAGCAAATTCTCATTTCCCAGATCTGAGTGTGTGAAACATTACTTTTCATATACTATTAGGTTCTGCAAAGTAAAATCTAAACTGGTTGTGTAAAAGATGGAGATTTTGTAGATTTATAAATCCTGTGGATAAACTTTTCATACTGCCAAGTGATTTAACAAATACCCTTTTATTTAAAAAAATGTGAATTCTGTGATGATTTTAAAAATAGGTTCCTGGGTGCATGCAAGTTCAAACCATTTTGTTTTGCCGTTTTATATGTACATTTTCTCAACATTTTGCAACTAATTTAGATTCTAGTAGGAAAAATTGATCCAGTTAAGTCTAAAGTAGTCAGTTTCTATTTCTTTGTGAGGCAGAAGCCTGTTTCCTATCCATACCTTTGTATTGTGTCAGAAAGACGGCTCTGTGGTAAAGTATTAAAAATTCAGGATTGCCTGGTAGTGCAACTAAAAGATAGCTGCTGTCTCATAAAAGCATTTCAGTTAAATGTTACTGTGTTAACTGACAAAAATAGAAGTAAATACTGTTTAATTGGATATAAATATGGCGCTTTTTCACGTGAATCCAGAGTATCTGGTAGCAATGAAAGAAAAAGTTGTAAGCCTACTCCTACCGGTATGTCCACATACTGCAAACATCAGACATAAAATTGAATATCGTGTATCTATGACTCAGAATAATAGCTACACGGTTTTAAAAGAATAAAAGGTTATGAAAAAAGCTCGGGCCCTGCCTCGTGGAAATTGGAATTCCCGATAATAAGAACATCGGCAAATAAAGTAAACAAGCAAAACACGAGGGCAGGAACCGTTCTAACATGCAAACACGAACACCCTGTTTCACAATACCACGCTTCTCACGCCTGCGGCAAGCATAACTTGAAGACCCAGAAGGCTCTGCCCTTGGGTGAGCAGTGGTGCGCATGCCTAAATTGGAGACAACGAAAGCGACTACAATCTCCAAGAGCCTCCTACTACGTTAGTTGAGCGGGCATCGACAAGAGGCGGGCGCAAGGATTGCTGGGAAATGCAGTCCGCATTTTCTGAGGCAAATAGAGGCGGGGCCCGGCGAAGCATGTTACCTGACGCCGGCGAGGACGACGCTGCTACCACTGGGAGCCGAGGATGCCTCAGAGGACCGGGGAACTGCCCCCGTTCAAGAAACCGAAGCTGGCGTCCACCACGCTGCCTCTCGCCTCTGGATCGCGCAGAGCGATGTTACTAACGACGCCGGGAACGAAACGCCATCCTTCGTCCGCATCCTCTTCCTTGTCGTCTTCCTCCTCCTCTTCGATAGGGATCGACAGCCAGCGCCGGAGCCTGCCGATTTTCCAAGCGCGGGGGACGCTGCTCGGACAGCTCCGCACCTTGGATTGCGCGGTCCTGATCGGTGAGGGAACCATGCCCTTCCCCCACACTTTCTAAACAGACTTGCTGGGGGAGGAGTCAACGGAAGCCTCGCCCTTTTTCTGAAGGAGAGGGGTGATTGAACGGGAGTACTCCTTCCTCCTTACTGCAGGAAAGGGGCGGAGTCTGGCGTGTATTCGTCTCTCCGCCGCTGCTGTGCGGAGGGCGAGGCTTCCCCTTAGTTGCTTCTTAACTCTCAATTTTCCACTCTGGGGAATTTTCCCCTTGAACGGAAGAAAAGCAGAATTGTAAGAAGGCTGCTTCTCTTCTCTTTACTCTCGGCCGCCGACTGGATGCAACATTCCCTTTTTGCCACTGAAAGGCACCCGCGGGCGCTTCCTTTTTAAAATCCTTTTTGTCGTGCGACTTCTGCTGGGGATCATCCTGTTATCCGCCCCTTTCTCTGCAGTGCTGGAGGGTCGGAATTTATGACCAGCTTTCAGTGTGTTTTATGCTGTACTTGGAACTACCATTCTCAGGTTTCCCAAAGAGGATAGGAATTGTGGAGTTGTAACCCACTACAGCTGCTGACGTGTCTTTGGCAGATGTGAATAGAATAGAATAGAATAGAATAGAATAGAATAGAATAGAATAGAATAGAATAGAATAACTTTATTGTCACTTTAAATGTGCACTAATCAGCATATATTAAAATTGAATTTCATTGCATTCTGCTCTCAAAGGGTAACCACCTCCAATATACACTACCCAAACATGGCAAAAAATTATGCATATAACCAGATAAACACACATATATAACATAGAAGAACAACACAGTCTAGTTCGGATGTATACATATACATGGCGAGAAAAAATCCTGCAAATTTACAAGACGAATGGCATAAGGAGCAAAGCTGTTGCAGAATCTAGTAGTCCTGCTAGAAATATTCCGAAATCTCCTCCCAGAGGGGAACAACAGAAACAGACCGTGAAGTGGGTGTGTGGGGTCTCTAACAATGCTTCCAGCTGTTAGAGTGCAGTACTGCAGGCCAATTTAGCTGACTGTGTTCAGCAGGTCAGTGGTTCAAATCTCACCGGCTCAAGGTTGACTCAGCCTTCCATCCTTCTGGGGTAGGTAAAATGAGGACCCAGATTGTTGGGGGCAATGTAAATATATATATACATTGCTTACTGGTGTACACCGCTTAGAGAGTGCTTGCACTTAAAGCGGTATATAAGTCTCATAAATAAATAAATAAATAAATATAGAGTTTGCTACTTTTCCTCAAAAAGGTATATGGAGGTGCTGATGATAGCCCCTGCTTTTTGGCTGGATATGGCTTAACTAGCCTCTTTTCAATTATAAAGCATTTGAAATGCAAGCCAGTGTTTGAAGTTTGGGGGTGGGTGGGGGAGGAGATATTACACTTCATTTTCCTCATTTGTTGAAAAGGATTTCCTCCAAAATCTAGCAAATTAATGTGCCTAAAAGAGAAAAAATATTTTATCTGACAGAAGGTAACTGACACTCATTGGCTTAGCATACATGTGATACTGCCCTGAATTGAGGTTTGAAAACAATATTTGGGTAGCTGAAAGTATCTAAGCTAAGAATTATAGTTAAATTCAAACAATCATCAAGTTTATGCAAACTTTAGAAGAAGCTAAAATGGGGTTGAGTATCTTGGAGTAGCACATTACTGGACCCCTGCAGTTGTGTTTTCTTAGCCAGAATTAAGGATTAGCATGTCCTGAGAACTCAGCCAATGGGGGGAGGGGGATTTTCCAAATTGTCCTAAAATACAAACAAAACAAATAATAGTATATCACAGTGACCAATAATTTTTAGACAGATAATCAGACAAATTTATAATATGTTGGCTTTAAAAATATTGTGGAAAATAAATGTTTGGCATGCATATTTTACTGCCTGAGATGATGAATGGCTATGTTCTTCATAATTAACTAACAGTTACCAAGAAAATTATATAGAATACCTGTAGGAAGTTGTATCTAGCACTCCTTTATTTTGGTGCTGAAAGAACAGCTCCTGTAGATAAACTGTAAAACTGCTTTCTCCAATTGGGAATGTTCCAGATATATTGTATTACAGTTATATAATTGTTAGGACCTTTTTTATTAGTAGGGGAAGGAAATGGGGGGGGATAATAATAATTAGTAGTATATCTTTATCCTAGCTTTTTAATATATTTTATTTTTATTAGAGTTTTATTCCATCTTTATTACTTTACAAGTAATTCAAGGGGAAGCATACCTAATACTCATGCCCCCTATTTTCCCCAAAACAACCCTGTGAGGTGGATTGGGCTGGAAGACAGAGACTGGCCCAAAGTTACCCAGCTGGCTTTCATGCCTAAGGGAGGCCTAGAACTCACAGTCTCCTGGTTTCTAGCCCAACACCTTCACCACTAACTAAGCTAGCTCTCAGTGTTATGGTGTACTTGAAAAGCAACAGGTAAAATAAGGCTTCAGTTCCACAATATTTGCTTAGAGGTAAGTTCCAGTGAACATGTTTACTAATATCCATAACATGAATAACCTCCAAATGGGTGTCCCAAGGGTGCTTTTTCAGGAGGCTGAAAAAACTGGACTTTTTTGTTTTTCTCTGAAGACGTTTCGCTTCTCATCCAAGAAGCTTCTTCAGCTCTGACTAGATGGTGGGGAATGGAAGGATTTATATTCCTTGCAGACAGCTGGTCATTTGCATTCTTTTAGAGAGTTGTTGAAGCCATTTGGAGGTTTACCTGTGTCCTCAGGATGCTTTCTGCCCTGTGTCCCTTCACTGTTGAAGACAGGCGCAGGTTGTTGGGGATGAGCCTGTGTTGTCTGCATCTCAAACTGAAGCACAAATGATTCTTGTAGTCTGCAATGTTTTCTGGAAATCTGTTCATACTCCCTCACCATTTGAAGGGTGTTCATCCCAAAGTGCATTGCTAAATGTCTATGAAGATTCTCAGTCATCCAGGCCGTGGTTGTCCCAAAGATGCTTTTTCAGTTGCCTCCTGAAAAAGCACCTTTGGGACAACCAGGACCTGGAATGACAACCATGACACTCCAAATGGATGGATTTTAGTGTATGGTGATGCCCAGGTTGGAGAAAGCTGACTGAGACCACTGGTTTATTAAATGAATTCAGAAAACATTTCTGTTTTATTTTCTGTTAGGATAACTAGTGGAGATGCCATATCTGACATATTTAACAAATAACACCTTTATTTGCTTAATAATTTGTAGGGGAAACAGGTTCTGGAAAGACAACTCAAATTCCACAGTATCTCTATGAGGGGGGAATTGGGCGCCAAGGAATAGTTGCTGTGACCCAGCCTCGCCGTGTGGCTGCTATATCCTTGGCTACTCGAGTCTCAGATGAGAAGAAAACTGAATTAGGAAAACTGGTATGTAGATTGTTTTTTCTCTTTGGATCTTCCTTTTCTCCATAATCTGCCAGGCTGTTCCAATGCGGGTTTGGCAGATGTGATCGGTGCTAATCTGGGGAATTCATCATGGCTTGTTTGCCTTGGGAGACCCTTCTGAAGATATACATGTCTGATGACATAGCCCACAAATTCATTTAACCCCACAAGCCCCTTTGCCTCGTCAAGGTCCTGGTCATATTGTAATGGCATGTGGGAATTACCTTGAAAGACAGAAGGAAAGGTTGCAGCCTAGACAGTGGTTTGATAAACGAAATCTGAATCCAAAGGACGGATGGAACTGAAGAAAGTGTCTCAGACAGGACCCTCCCTAGTTTTCAGAAGAGTCAACGTAAGGGAGGGGGGAGGTACTTTCAGAGTTGCAAGATTATGTTACTATAATCTTACAATGAAGGTAGTGTTCATTTTCATGGCTGATGCTTCTTGTCTGGACAACCTCAAAGAGCCAATATATATGCAGCTCTTAACTATTCTGCTGTGCTTGTTTAGTGCCTAAAGATGCCTCTAAATGGTTGCCACATGACTAATCCTTTTTTTTTTAATCCCAATGGCTTTTCTTCTTAGGTTGGCTACACCGTGCGATTTGAAGATCTTACATCAGATGAAACAAAAATCAAGTTTCTGACAGATGGAATGCTGCTTCGAGAAGCCATTGGCGACCCTCTTATGCATAAATACAGTGTGGTCATTTTGGATGAAGCACATGAGAGAACAATCCACACAGATGTGCTCTTTGGCGTAGTGAAAGCAGCCCAGAAGAAACGGAAGGAGCTTGGGAAATTACCTCTGAAAGTGAGTGCTGAACACAGAAGGGGAAGAGAGGGGTAGCTAGGCCTAATGAGACATGAAGCCTGAGTGGAGGCTGTTATAGGCTATTTTTTTTTCCTGATTTAACAAACTTTACAAAGGCAAAAATATTGGTTGCAGGGGAAAGTGAAAAGCAGTTCAAAAAGAAATTTGGATTTGTGGCAACATTATTTAAATAAATATTCTTTTATCTGGTAATTTCTTTTCTTTTTTTTTTTGCTTTCTCTTTTTTTATTTTATTTTATTTTTAACCAACAAAACAAAACAAAACAAAGCAAAACATAACACACATACACACACAGTATATACTCCTCCCCCTTTTTTTTTTAACAGCAAATACGTAATGGTAATCTTCTATTATTTACATTTCCCCCCTTATTCTTCTTTAGAATATTTGTCCTTATTGCCCCGTTGTTTCTTATTTACATTTTTCTTCCTTCATATTCTACTTCTTACTAAGAATAATTATCCGGTATTTTCAATACCCATTATAGTCTGTCAAGAAGGGCTGAATTTTATTCAGTGCTGCTTAAAAAAAGCCTTTGAATGAAAAAATAAGATGCTGGTAATACTGACTCTGCTTCAGAAAAAAGTGCTGGTAATACTGACTCTGCTTCAGAAAAAAGTGCAGTGTAAGAATCTATTAGGCTTCAATTGACTATAAGTATTTTAATGAACTGACTGAAACATTACCATTATTGAAGTCCTTGACGCATCTTATCTCAGTCCAAGGGTTGATATGAAAGATGAAGGCGGGCAAAGGATGCATGGAATCTGAGTTAAAAAGCCTTCAACACTATACACAGATGAATAAAGTACAGGTAGTCCTCGACTTACAACAGGTTGTTTTGTGACTGTTCAAAGTTACAACAGTACTGAAAAAAATAACTTTTCACCATTTTTCACACTTACGACTGTTGCAGCATCTCTATGAGTCTTGGCAACAGGTCTATATTAATGCAGTTGCAGTGTCCCGGGGTCATGTGGTCACCTTTTGCCATCTTCTAACAAGCAAAGTCAGTCGGGAAGCCAGATTAACTTAACAACCGTGTCAATGCAGTGACTCAACAGCTATAGCAAGAAAAGTTGTAAAATGGGGCAAAATTCACTTAACAAATGTCTCACTTAACAACAGAAATTTTGGGCTCAATTGTGATCGTAAGTCGAAGACTACCTGTACGTATTTACTCCTTGTATATTTGTGCAGATCGTAATGCAAAATTCCCTTATTATAATCTTACTTCTAGTCCAGAGTGGTTCTTGGTTATAACCCAACATTTTACAGGTGATTGTCATGTCAGCTACAATGGATGTAGACTTGTTCTCCCAGTACTTCAATGGAGCACCAGTTCTCTACTTGGAAGGCCGGCAACACCCCATCCAGATTTTCTACACAAAGCAATCTCAGAGTGATTACCTCCAAGCAGCACTAGTGACAGTCTTCCAGATCCATCAGGTATAACACTGGGTTATTTATATCTCAACTACTTGTCTTTGTTTATCTGGTATATTTTTTATTCCGCGCTTCTTGGGGTCTCAGGATAATGCACAAGTTTATGGCTGCCTCTTTTCTCCCGCCTCTTGTTACCACCATAACAATCCTGTTTGGCAGATTAAATTGGGAGGTGGAGACTCACCTAACATTACCCAGTAACCTCTACAGCTGCATGAAAAATTGAAAGCAGATGCCTGATATTTTAAAACAATGTGAATTTAAATTTAATTCCTGTCATACCTAAATAGGAGGCAAAGAGTAATGGGAGTTTTAGTGCAATGTATCTAGAGGGCACCGGTTGGGGAACCCTAGTCTAACTATTGCCTATAAATACATTACAGCTTCCCTCAGTCATCAGAGTGTTAATGCACTAAGAATGTTGCCATTTTGTTACTTCCCCAAACCCCCAAAAATTTTAAATCTGAAAACTTTCAACTGATTATTCCAAATATCAAGGTGACTTCAGTAAATAGCAATTTTCTTTTGCCAGTTCCTTGAAGAAAGCGTTTAAAATAACATGCAGTGCAACAAATTACTACTATAATTTGCTAAGAGGTTCACTGCTTGTTTTTGCATATTGCTTGCAGACTAGAAGGCTCTAATTCTCCTTTGTAAAACAAGTCTAGACTACTAGCAAGTTATTAGTAAAAGTGTAGAAGCCCAAAGTTTCTAAGGCACTTGAAACTATGTAGGTTTTTTTAATCCAGGTTAATTGAAACATACAAAGATAATTTGTCAGATGCTTTAAAAATAAGTGTAATGTTTCTCATGTTAATAGAAAATAGAGAAAGAAGACCAGGTCCAAACTTCTCTAGCTAGGCATTTGAATCTTTGAAGCAATTGTGATAAAGCCTCTGTTCCTTGTAGCACAGTTAGTTCTTGACTTGCAACCATTTGTTTAGTGACTTTGTAGTCACAACAGCACTGAAAGAAGTGAGTTACAACCAGACATCACACTTAAGACCATCAGAGCACCCGCACAGCCTCATGATCAAAATCCGAGAATAGGCAACCAGCATATATTTAGGACAGTTGCAGCCTCCTGGTCATGATTTGCGACCTTCCCAGCAGGTTTTTGAAAAGCAAAGTCAGTGGGTGAAGCTAGATTCACTTAACGACCATTAACAATTGCAATGATTCGCTTCACAACCTTGGCAAAAAGGTCATAAAACTGGGCGCAACTTACTTAACCGCCTTCCTTAGCAACAAAAATTCAGGTTCCAATGGTGGCCACAAGTTGAGGACGTGTGATTCATTTGGTTGTGGGGAACAATGTCAGAATACAGACTACTTTGGAGCAGAACTGTGATAGGGTAAGGCAAACTCTGGAATGTTAGGCCTCAAGCTGCAAAGACCTTTAAGTACCGACATATCAAGTGATCTGGAGGGCGATAAGAAAAGTGAGGCTCTTTCCCAATCGCAGCTGAGCTGAAACATCAGTTGGCTTTTGAATCTAAGATTATGTAAATATCTTTGTGTTTTCTTTCTGTAAAGGAAGCACCTTATTCCCAGGACATCCTGGTGTTTCTGACAGGCCAGGAAGAGATTGAAGCAATGACCAAAACTTGTCGGGACATTGCAAAGCATCTTCCAGATGGCTGCCCTCAGATGGTGGTCATGCCCCTTTATGCTTCTCTGCCTTACTCACAGCAGCTCCGGGTCTTCCAGATTGCACCCAAGGTAAGAACCAGAGCAAGGCTGTGGGAATCACAAAGAAGGATGTAAACTTAAGCAGCACAGAAAAGTATGAATGCCTTATTTAGAAACATTCTAACTAGAAAAATGTCAAAGAGGATATCAGAGACATGAATGTCTGTGCCCCCCTTGGAAAGATTTCCACAGGTGATGCTCCTGGCCACAGTTCTTTTAATAGAGTAGAGTAGAGTTGGAAGGGACTTTGGAGGTCTTCTAATCCAGCCCTCTGCTCAAGCAGGAGAACCTATATTGTCTCAGACAGGTGGATGTCCAGTCTCTTCTTAAAAATCTCCAGTGATGGAGCGCTCACAATTTCTGGGGGTAAGCTATTCCACTGGTTGATTGTCCTCACTATCAGGAAATTTCTCTTTAGTTCCAGGTTGCTTCTCTCTTTGGTCAGTTTCCAACCATTGTTTCTTCTCCTGCCCTCTGGTGCTTTGGTGAACAACCTGGCCCCCTTTGCCTTGTTGCAACCCCTTAGATACTGAAGTACTTCTATCATGTCTCCCCTATTTCTTCTTTTCCTTAGACAAGCCAGACCCAAATCCCGTAACCGTTCTTTGTATGTTTTAGTCTCTAGGCGCCTGATCATCTTAGTTGCTCTTTGAATTTTTTCCAAACTCTCAACATCTTTTTTGTGGTATGGTGACCAAAACTGGCTGCCGTATTCTAGGTGTGGTCTTACTAGGGCTTTATAAAGTGGTAATAGTACTTCTCGTGATCTTGATTCCGTGCCTCTATTTATACAACCAAGGATTTTGTTAGCTTTTTTTGTTGCTGCTGCACACTGCTGGCTCATAGTCAAGTGACTCACAGTCTTGTAGCAACTTTTGTAACTTGGGGTAGGGGTGAATACTTCCGGGAGAAAGTGTTCCTTGAAAATAAGTCATGAATTTCTTATAGAAAGGGTATTGTATATTTGAGCCTTCACAATAGGAAATTCCTTTTGAAGGGCCAACAACCTTTACCCAAAACTGGGAGACATGTTGATTCTTCTCAGTACTTACATCTACTTTTGCTTGTTTTGTGTAATGAACAGTGTAGAAAAGCTAAACAACTGAGAAATCTTTTTCTACCAGGGTTATCGCAAAGTGATTCTTTCCACCAACATTGCAGAAACGTCCATCACCATTGCAGGCATCAAATATGTTGTGGACACAGGGATGGTCAAAGCAAAGAAATATACACCTCGTATGTATAAGTAGTACTTGGTTTTACACAGAAATTACTGAGGGGGTGTGGCTTGGGTGGTGATCCTGCTCGTTGTTACAGGCAATAGGGTTTCTGCTGCTCAGAAAATTATTCTGCAGACAGAAAAAGTACGTTGCAGTCATGAATCGTTATATATTAAGTAGGAGGGGGAAGGAGAACAGCTTTGGAAATTTCAAGCTTGCAAGCATTTTGCATCAGGCTAGCCCAAGGTAGAACTTTTCAAAAGCTTTAGACAAGTAACTTTTCATTCTCTCCTTCAAAATGGGAATAATGGGAGGAGCTTCTGAATATCGGTATCAGTTGAAAGTATTTTGGAAACCAAGACTATGCTAAGCTATAAACATATCCAGCAAATCATATGAAAGTATAGATGCAGATATAGATATAGATAGCCATGTAAACTTAAGTTGTGGGTGCAATATCTCAGGTCTGAAGACTGCATGTGGCTCCCCATTTCATGGGTATCATACCTATGTAATTTTTAATGTGAGAGAAAAAATATATAGAAAGGAAGAATATTAAACATATTCCAATGTTTAAATCAAATTTATTTTTAATCCTGGCTCTACCTAGGTTTTTTGGTGGGGAGGTCCCTCTTCCTTTTTGGAGTATTTATTTCCTATAACCTCCCATCTCAAACAAGTGACCCTGTTCGGTGAACAATCATACAAATCAATTTAAAGCAATTATAATATAATAAAAAAATTAATATATGGCATTTGAGAAAAAAATATAGCCTGAAAACGGTCCTTTGCACACTGAGGGCCACAAAGCCAGGTCTTCAAGGCCTTACAAAGACCAACAGGGTCATGGGGGGGTGGCACTGTCAGCTCTGAAGGGAGAATATTCCAAAGGGCAGGAGCTTTGGTAGAGAAGGCTTGTCTCCTGCCAGCTGACATTGCTTGACTGATGGGACCCACAGCACACTCAACCTGCTGGACCAAATTGGACAGATAGAAATAACTGGGTCTTTCAAGTAATGTGAGTGTGGTCCCTGACGTAGGAATCAAAAACCATGTGTCTTGCCTGTCAATACAGACCATGAGACCAACCGGTAGCATACCAGAAGTCGCTAAACTGTAATTCCCATTACCCTGCACCATTAACTAGGTTGACTGGGGCTACTAGAACTTGTAATTCCAATTACCCTACCTTTTTATCCTTCCAAAAAATGTTTAAGACTCAGTTTTTTTCTCAAGCACTGGGATAAAATGAGATTGACATGGAAGGAATGTATCATCATAAATTTAGCTGTGCTGCTAGTTCTCTCTCCCTCTCTCTCCCTCCCTTTCTCTCTCGCTCATGATATACCGTATATTCCGGCGTATAAGGCGACCCGGCTTATAAGACGACCCCCATCTTCGGCACCGAGTCACATGCCTAGAAAGTCGTCTTATACGCCGGAAACTACCGTTATTTCTGGTGTATAAGACGTCCCCCGGCTTTGGTGCCGATTTTAACACTTGCGAAAGTCGTCTTATACGCCGGAAAGTACGGTAAATGCTTTTTTAAAAAATAAATAAAGAGTTCAGCACCATTTGGACTATAAGAAGTAGCCTAACATTAGCATAGCCTACACTGAGCTCAACAAATTAATGTTTTCAAGTTACGCTTAGTCCCTCCTAGATCCTTCTTGATACCCATAACTGTTGTCCATATTTACCAGGTCTTGCATGATTTAGATCCAAAACACTTTAAGAGCACGAAGTTTCTTATTCTGGGTGTAGTAGATCCTGTGAGGTCATTTTCAAATCTCCAACAGGGAATTGCATTTCAAAAAGAAAAACTTAGCTCTTCTTGCCTTTCCTAGAAAGTGGCCTGGAGGTCCTGGCAGTCCAGCGGATCTCAAAGGCCCAGGCCTGGCAACGGGCTGGTCGAGCCGGGAGAGAGGATAGTGGATTTTGTTACCGCCTCTACACAGAGGATGAATTCGAGAAGTTTGATAAGATGACTGTACCAGAGATCCAAAGGTGAGGTGTCTTGTGGGAAATTCTCATTGCAAGCTTCCAGAATGGCAGCCCTCCATAGGCATTGTATCAATATATAGGAATGGGCTGTCTGTGGAGATTCTCAAAAGGAAGAAGCTTCTTGGATGAGAAGTGAAACGTCTTCAAAGAAAAACAAAATCCAATTGCCTTTTGAAAAAGCACATTTGGGATAGAGGTCGGCTGTGGATAATGAAACAAGTTAGATTTCTTGATGAAAGTGAAGTTTCAAAAGATTTGTCTTTATCCTTGATGCCCTTTGTTGTTCAATCACTCCTATGCTTTTTAAAGAATAAAGGTGCTGGTTTTAAATTTTGCTCCTCTGAATGACTCAGAACATGGACATCCTAGAAGGCCATTTCATCCCATGTGAACTTGTCTAAATGCAATCTCACCCCAATCCTTTGAGTGTTTTCCAGCTTTAAATTCTTTTTTCTGATTTTGAGCTAAATTCTCTGTAGAGAGATGAGAAGATAATAAGCCATAGTGCATCTTTTCTCACCTAGGAGAGCTCACCCGATCTCAAATCCAAGAATTCCCTAAAACATCCGTGCTGGCTAAGAAATTCTGGATGTTGAAAACCACACATTTCGAGGGCAGTCAAGCTGAGGAAAGATGCAGTCGCCATTTTTGCAAGCTAGATGAATCTCTATTGATATATTGTGTCTTGCCTTGATTTGGTAGAATTCAAAAAGTTTGAAACTCTCTTTGTTTCTGCAGGTGTAACTTGGCCAGTGTGGTGCTCCACCTGTTGGCTCTCAGAATCCCAAATGTCCTTACCTTTGACTTTGTGTCGAAGCCACCTCCAGGTAAGTAAGCCTCAGCTATGTTGCAACTGGATAAAGGCTCTCATTGCCGTTAAAAATTGGAGCCAAAATAAGAGATATTGGCTGTGGATTAAAGCATGGAACTCTTGCAGCTTTAGATCTATTATTCCTATATTAATTGCCATAAACCTGAATGTCTGAAAAAGCAGAAATTTCTAAAAACTCTTTTGAACAACCACAAACATGATACCCAGATGAAGGAGTAGATATGTTGTAATTTTTAAGCATCCCTACTGCTTGAATGAAAAGAGGAAATTCTTAAATCATTCAGAGGAATTATGGAAGCTGCCTATAACAAGTTAACTTATTTATCTATTTAGCTCAGGGTGATTTATAGAAGCCTTTTAGGATCTCGGGTTTATGATTTTCCATATCCATAGACTCCTTCAAGCTAAGGGTAGGCAACCTTTGGGGCCAGAATCTTCCCTTCACATTTTGGGGTTAAGGATGCTGTGTTACTGTGTTTCTTATCTCATTGGTGTGGGAAATTGTCTTGCCACTTTTTGGTAATCATGGTTGTAGAGACCTCTTCAGTCTGCAAAAAGGTCAAGAGTAGCATACAGCAAAAGAGGACCCAGGTTGCCCCCATACTCATTTTTAACTGGAGATATTGGGAAAGGTGTAAAGTCTTTGGGTGAGATGGATTTCATTTCTCCAGATCCATAGGTATCCACAATTGGGGGACGAGTGGCAAGTGACATCAATGCATCGTGATATTGTTGTGTTGCTGATAAATAGCATACTCGGTGCAATGACACCATGACTCATGACATCATTGTGGCTTCTACTGCACTCCTGTGTCTTGATCCCTAGCTGACCTGGCCAGCACATCTGCAGGATACCAGGTTATTTATTTAATTATTGCATTTATATCCTACCTTTCCATAAGGTGCACAAGATAATATACATGAGGTTGCCCACCATTTTATCCTCATAATAACCTTTGAGACAGGCTAGGTAGAGAAAGAGTGGGCCAAAAGACACTGAGCGATTCTTGTGGTGGAATAGGATCTTCTCAGCAATTTCAATCCAACATTTTTTCACACACCAACTTTCAGCTTACAGGAATGTTGCAGAATGCCACAAGGCACAACAGATAAATCCCGCGGTTTTCCTGTATAGAGTAGAGCTAAAGAATTCTGGTGATCCTTCACAACACTGGTTGACACTATCTTAGTTCTTGCTGGGACTCTGGAGGTTTGTTACTAGGAAAGATCAGTCATGTGAACTTCATCTTTGTCTTGACAGAGGCACTTCAGGCTGCCATCGAGCAACTGGCTCTCTTGGGTGCAGTGGAAAAGAAAGAAGATCAGCTGATCCTCACACCATTAGGAAAAAAGATGGCTGCATTTCCTCTCGAACCCAAATTTTCCAAAGTAACGTGTTAACTTTTGTTTCTATTTCTCTGAAAAACACGCCTTAGCCCCTTTTTTGAGTTTTATTTTGAAATTCAGCCATTTCTCTGGGTTTGAATTTCTTGAGAACATCACATTTCTATAGATCGTTTGATTGCATTTTATAACATGCTGGTGGGATAGAGGGAATGGTGTTTGAGGTCATCCATCAGCTTCTGCAGTAAAGAGGTCCCCCAAAGGTGCATTTTCAAGAGGCAACTGGACTTGCTTGTTTTTCTTTGAAGATGTTTCCAAGAAAGCTTCTTCAGCTCCGACTGGATGGTGGGGAGTGGAATATACTGTAATTTGGTATATACCAACGCTATAGAAGTCATCATAAAATGCACAACACAGAAAATGCATGAAAACACAAGTTGAATTCACACTTAGCTCTTTTCCTTTTCACTATGTGTGGTTTGTCTCAATTTCTGAATGGTCCAAGGCACAGAGATATGTGATATTTGTTGGTTATGCTGGTTAAAAGAGTTGAGCCTATTCTTCCTATTTCATGCTTATATAAAATTGTGCCTATCCTTTTCTGCTTCTGAAGCTGAATAGGAATATGTTGTTCTGCCAATCCAATAACAATACTGAATAGAGAGAGGAGAAAGACAGAAAAATAATTGCCCCCCGAATTAACATAATAAACTGGAAGGAGACAAGTTAAACCAGGTGTAAGATTCCTATGAGAGTGTCCTTGAATGGAATCCAAAAGAGGAGCCAACAGACTTTCTTTCATTTCAAGATTAATGCATCAGATTGAAACACAAACTTCGGTCAAATATTTTGGAGGGAGGCTAAATTATGTGTTATTTCCCTGTAAACCCTCCCCACCCTTCAACAGAGAGAAGAATTCACAAAAACAATGGATATTTTTCACCCTTGCTGATCCTTATTTTGATATACGCATTTGGCAATTGATTCAGTAAATGTTCTCTTGAAGTAATGAGAAACCAGCATGATAAATCTCCAATAAGCTCTGAGGTTTCTGTGTTTCTTTTAGTGAAGAGATGCATATTAATTTAATCTACCTCACCAGTATGTGGAGGATCCTGTCCTGTAGTGGATAAAGTGTTTTTAAATGTTGCTTTTGATAGTGTCCATTGAAGTATCTGGCATACATTTTGGTCTTTCACTTGTTGAGGCATGAGGACACATAACTGAGCAGCCTGTCATATGTTCTCTGGATCCCTGCCCATTTTGTTTATTCAGGCAGCCAGTTGCCTTGGTTGGTTTAGGTAGTAATAAAGCATTTTTCATGGTGGAGTGGTGCTTTTGGCCTTCAAGGAATCAGCACATATGGGCAACTCACAACAATTAAAAACAACAGCAAAATGTTGCAGTACATTGACTCAACAGGTGGGAGCATCTAGCTGAGCTTCAGGATTTCAAAACTGAGCAGAGATATGCTCAAGTGTGGTGTTCGTTGTCTTTTGGCAGATGATCCTAATGTCTCCCAAGTTCCATTGTACGGAGGAGATCCTGACCATTGTCTCGCTGCTCTCTGTGGACAGTGTCCTCTACAATCCTCCTTCCCGTCGGGATGAAGTCCAGGCCATCCGAAAGAAATTCATCTCCAGTGAAGGGGATCATGTCACTTTGCTCAACATTTACCGGGCCTTCAAAAATATCAGTGGCAATCGGGTAAGATTTGAAATGGTTCCATTTGGGCAAGTGCTAGATTGTAAAAGATTCCTCCCTCATTGTGGGTTTCTATGTCTGAACCAGCTGGCATGTCCTTTTTAGTGGTAGCCCCAGTATTTGGAATAATCTATTTCCTCACCTGGTACAGGTACTTGCTTGCATGACTCAAGCATGCGTTCAGCCATTTGTTGTTTTATATTTTATTAGTTTAGTTCAATTTAGTTTAGTTTACCTTATCTTACTATAGTTTTATATTTTATGTTTATTTTCTGATTAGCCACCCAGCATCTGTCAGAATTGGAGTAGTATATTGGAAATAAAGAAATAAAGCCATATCTTTAGCATATCCACTGTACAATATTTTCTCACCTTATAACCAGAAGCCGACGTCTAAGGTATCTTATATGTGTAAAATGTTCAATGCTAGAAGGAAGTAGGTCTGTTCTCTGTTTATATACTGCAGCTTGTCTTGTCAGTGTTCGTGTGGGTGTTGTTTTTTCCTTGATACTTCCTAAACAGCTGTTTGCTTGATTGTGGAGCTTGGTACTACTTGGTAATGTAGTATTCCTGTCTTATTGATAGGAGGAAAGATTATTTGGCCAATGCTGATTTGTGCCTTGAAAGGGAACGGTGGATCTGAATCAGAACCCTGTACAGGAAATAAATAGACTCTGATTCTCAGTGCCTCATTTATAGAGGATTGAGATTTGAGAAGCTCTAAAACAGTGGTTCTCAACCTTTTTAATGCCGCGACCCCAACCGGTCGTAAGTCGAGGACTACTCAACCTTTGCAGCACCGTTTGCAGAATGGGACTGCAGAGACAGCCTGGACAATTCCTATTGGCTTTTGAAAGCCAATAGAATTAGACTCTATTCAAGAGAGTCTATTCTATTGGCTTTCAAAAGCCAATAGAATAAAAGGGAGTAGCACAGCTAAGGAAAAGGGGGAAAAAATGGCGGACTGCGTTGTTTGGCGACCCCTGTGAAATGGTCATTCGACCCCAAATGGGGTCCCGACCCACAGGTTGAGAACCACTGCTCTAAAAGATGCTATTCCAAGGCAGTTGCTACTTGATCCTACTTGATGTTCCTGATAATCTCTCCTTTGTCCTCCTTTCTTTTCTGCTTATTTCAGGAATGGTGCAAAGAAAATTTTGTGAACAGTCGGAATATGATGCTGGTCTCAGATGTTAGAGCTCAGCTAAGGGATATTTGTATAAAGGTAAATGTTGGAAGGTTTCAAAGTGGTTCATGTTGAATCAGATGTCCTTTGAAATGTATTGTTTTTAACTGGATCAAGGTCATATCAGTGCTGCAGTATTTAACCTGGCGTCGGTAGGTGAAACTTTCACTGCTTTGGTCCACATATTTTCCCAGAAAAAAGCAGAAGAGTGGCATGCAAGAGAGGCTGTGGTATAGCAAGATCCTTACAGTCCTCCAATCTTCACCTGTTCTGGTTGTGATAATAATTGCAGAGCACTTCCAATCGATGTACTGTGCCTGGCTGTAATGAGAGAGTTATCTTGCTTTCATAGGAGGTTTGTATTTAAAACTAAAGAATGGTGTAACTCAGATGCAGTTTGGTGTCTGACAAGCTCTTGGCCTCACTTTTTGCGGGGCAGGGGGTGGCTGTGTTGGAAAACACCAGCTTGTGAGATCCATAGACCCCACAGACAATTGGCAAATAATGAGAATCAGTGTCCTTGTTTAGAAACATACCCGATTGCCCAAAAACAAAACCAAGGTAAGAGTGATGGGTAGGATTCTTGGAGTTTGTCCATTTTTGGTGACTGCCACTTCCACTAAGGCAGACATTTGCAAGATATCTTAGCATGCCTTGAAAATTCCTAATGTATTTACTAAGCCAGAAAGTCATCCTGCTTCTAATGTATCCCAAAGCTTCAATTCTGGATTTGTTCTTATTGCTGTGTTTTTGTTCTTGAAATCCAGCTTTCAATACCTCTGGAGTCTTCCCGCAATGATACTGGGACTATCCGCCGCTGCCTGGCCTATAGTCTCTTCATGTATACAGCAGAGCTGCAGCCAGATGGCACCTATGCCACAACCGATACCCATCAGCCAGTGGCCATTCACCCGTCTTCAGTCCTTTTCCATTGCAAACCAGCCTGCGTTGCGTACAATGAACTGCTGCACACCAGCAAATGCTACATGAGGGACCTCTGTGTGGTGGATGCTGACTGGCTGTATGATGCTGCCCCCGAATACTTCCGCCGGAAACTCAGAGCAGCCAAGAATGGACCATAAGATTGGGGATGAGAAAAAAAATTAATTGCTTACAGGACCTGGAATCACGACTTTGGTAACTGAATATAGAGGAATGTTGCTGTACCGACTGACTTCCCGCTGGCAGAAATGAGCTGGATCTCATAATGTTTCTTTCACAGTCCCTTCTGGAATAGGACTTTAAGTGGGCATGTTCCACAGGCTGTATCTACCTAGAAGCGATAATAGAAGCCACAGGCAGATTTTGTCTCTCGAAATGCTTTGTGATTAGCCCTCCTTTTTTCCCCATTCCAACTGTATTATGAGGGTTTCATAGAAGTAAAGCCTGCTTCGGTCTTCAGTCCTTTAGAAAGCATGCCATATAAAGAAAAGAGAACATGATATGTTTTTAGGACAAACCTAGTAAATCTGTACATTTTGAAAACTGCCTTATCACATACTTTGTCAGCACTGCATCTTACCATTACTATGTAACGTGAGGAAAAATAATTTTAAATAATATTTATTTTTAGGATGGAAATATTTTTTTCTCTTTTTTTCAATTCATGCTCAAACATATACTACATTGATATCAATCTGTACCTAATGTTTTAAAAAAGGAGAAATAAGGCTGGAAGAATCTGTGGTTACTCAGGAGTGTAGTTTTTCCAGATGTTTTTAACCATATAGTTTCCATAGTGCTAAAAATTGTGTTGGATTTGGTCCTCCCCAAATGAAAAAGCCTGTGATTACAGCAAGGGTGGTGCAACTCTGTATTTGCACGCTGTAGGTCCTAGATCAAAGACCCTGACATCTCCGGGGAAAAGGACTAAAGAAGTCCTTGAAGGTTAACTGTCAATCAGGGAGGACCAAGAAAATAGTGTTAGGTGGCCCCACAGCATAAGCCATAATGGAATTGTCAGATTTAGGGTAAATGAGATATGTGAACCCAGCTATGGCATCAAAACAATTTTGACTTGGCATGATGTGTGAGCTATCTATACAGCCTAAGCTTTAGATTGAAGGGCTCCATGACCAAAAATGATCTAAGGTACTTCATAGACCAGTGATGGCGAACCTTTTAGAGACTGAGTGCCCAAACTGCAACCCAAAACCCACTTATGCATCATCGGGTGTCGGATGGGTGTGGCCCATTGGGTGGGCATGGTTGCGGTGGTAATGGCAGACTGGGTAGGACTAAAAAGTTCAATCAATCAATTTCAACTTTGCAAGATCTTTTTTTTCCCGTGAGAAGTTGAAATTGACTGATTGAACTTTTTTTTTTTTTTTGCACATGGCGGCGGAGGCCTAAAGCAAAAAGGTTTTATAAAACCCAGCTGAAGGCCTAGGACTGGGGCGACAGCACACGTGCCCACAGAGAGGGCTCTGAGTGCCACCTCTGGCACCCGTGCCATAGGTTCGCCACCACTGTCATAGGCTAATGCAATTAATTACATAGAACTGCTAAAGTGAGGTTTGCCAGTTTCTGGCAAAAAACTTTATAAATCACAGTCACGAAATTGGAACTTTAAAATGGCTGTAAATGTGGGCTGGTTGCCAAGCACCCAAAATGCAGTCACATGAACGCAGGGGAGAGGCGTCAGAACTTTGAATCTGGATCATAAGTATCCCTAGGGAAGTCTGTCAGAACTTTGAATGATTGCTAAGTAACAGATCGTAAGTCAAGGTGTACCGATACCTGTAATTTAAGTCTAAACACTTCATTGGCATTTCCAACTTAACCCCATTCTATTTTTTGGAGTATAAAAGTACGCAACTCCAACCACCCAATAGGCATTATTTATAATATATACCGGTATTATAATGCAATGGCTTGACTGGCTGATTGGGCGGCTGGATATTTTACTCTCGTTCTGAGAATTCTCAATGTATGCTCAAAACATGTATGTGGGACAAGGGTGCCATACATTGCCAGGCTTTCAGATTTTGGGGTTGGGGGAGTTTGAGCTTCACACTGAACATAACACAAAAGACCGACACAGGACAAGCATGGACCTTGAGTACGAAGTAGCATGAACTAATGAAAACACAGCAAGGAAATTCTCAGCTCTTGTAAACCTTAAAATAATTAAGACACCACAACCACACTAATTGCTAACTTCCTAATCTAATATTTGATCCGGATTAAGGGATGCAACTGGATTACTTGTGAATGGCAAAACAGATTGTCAAAGTACATTACATTCTTCTCCCTGCTTAGTATGTATCCCTGTTTCTACATCTCCCTTCAGGATGGCGCTATAGGGCATTGCATGCCAAAACAACTAGACACAAAGATATTTTTCCCCATGCCATCACTGCTGAACATCTAATTCTCATAACACTATTTTAGGCCTAGATATTTACCAATATAGTAGGCTGTACTGCTATTAACCTTCAAGTCTTCTCATCTTTCCTCTGCCTTTACCTATTGGTATCTTATGATCTATCACTTTGCTGTTTGTATATACACTGAGAGCTTATGCACCAGAGACAAATTCCTTGTGTCCAATCATACTTAGGCAATAAAAATATTCTATTTTGTTAGAAGTAAGTCTTCATCCTGGTTCATCCAAGCTGGGAATAAATAAGCAACATGGCAACTGCTTTGGGAAGAAGGTTACAGTTTATTGAAGCAGAAAGATGGTCCTTACAAGAAAGAGCAGAGGAGAAGAAAGAAGTTGAGCACACGGGCAGTAGGTTTTTATACCCTCTAGCCTTGCTTGGAATAGTTTCCTGTTCCTGTGGCATGAACCTTGAGGCTATTTCTGAGTGTTTTTCTAGGCTTTGATATCTGTGGTTTAATCCTATTATCATATCCTTCTTCCCAGGTGATGGGGTTAATGACTCCTAGAGTTTGAATGGGGTATGCAGATTTTCTCTTTGTCTTCTTGAGTGCTCTGGCTTCAACTTTCTGATAGCTTTACATCTGCATTTGTATGGGGCTAGCTCTTGCTTGGAGCAGAGAAATAGATTTGGGGCCAGGTTTGGTTTTAAAAAGTCCTTTTGAGGAAAAATATATTTTTCTGCCCTTTTAACATTTCCTTCTCTGGGCTAACTTCCCTCAATTTCTATCTATTTCTATTCTATTCTTACTCTATCCTATCCTATCTATCCTATTATTCTATTCAAGGCAGGTTTGTGATCATAGATGTGTCATGGTTGTTGTTCGTCCATCGATTTTCGATGAAGATGCCATGGTAATGATCAAAGGACAGTGCCTCAGAAAACAAGGATAATCTACTTCTGAAGACACTGTTAGAAGTAAAGTCTTCATCCTGGTTCATCCAAGACAAGAATAAATAAGCAAACATGGCAACTGCTTTGGGAAGAAGGTTACAGTTTATTGAAGAAGCAGAAGATGGTTCTTCAGGAAAGAGCAGAGAAGGGGTGAGCACATGGTGTAGGTTTTTATATCCCCTCTAGCCTTTTGTTCCTGTGGCATGAACTTTGAAGCTATTTCCTGTGTCACGTATTCTGACCTGAGTCTACGTGTGCCTCTATGGTATACTTAATGGTAATGGGTTAGTCCTATTATATCCCGAAAGTCATCTCCTGCTTCCCTGGGGCAACCTGGCTCCAACCTTCCTAATGGTCTTATATCTGCATTTCTATGAGGTTAGCTCTTGCTTGGGACAAAGAAATTTGGGGCCAGGTTTGGTTTCTGCTTTTCAAAAAATCCTTTTGGTGAAAAATATATTTTCCTTTTTAATATATCCTTCTGGGGGGGCTAACTTCCCTCAACACTCAGCCAAAGACAAGGGCGACATTACCCTCCCGCCTTTGTAAACTGGGCTTCCCGAGGCACCCACGGATGGAAATGCAGAACTCCACCCCAGCATTTCCAGCCAAAAGCACCCTCAAAACAACCAGTTGTGCAGGGCGCATCGCTCGAAACAGCCCATGCGCCAAAAGCGCTTTCGTCGCTTTCTTTCAAAGGAGGAGGGACGATCGAGGAGGCGGAGTCTGGGGCGACGACCTTGGTTTCCTTTCCTTTTTTCCCCTCCCTTCCTTCCGGGCTTCCCCCACGTGAGTTCTGCCTTGCTCCGTCTTTCTCCGGCCTTCACCATGCTGGTTGCCCGGGCTTTGCGATCCGCTGTCGCCGCCGCGCGCTCCTCTCTGCCGCTGTTGCCTTTGCAGACAAGCGCGCATCGCCCCGCAGCCGCCGCTATTGCCGCTGCGGCCGCTCGGCCTTTCACCCGCTCGCTCTGGGTGCTCCGCGGCTCCGGCAAAGGCCTTCCCGGCCTTCTGCGAGGCTCACCCTCCGTGTCCTGCAATTGCGGCGGCCTTCATACCGAAGGTGAGAGAAAGGATGAGTCCCGGGGAGTCGGGGCCGGGCGAGCCTCCGTTTACTCCCGCGGAAGCAGCCCGGCTCCTTGGGGTAGGCGCGACGGATCTGGAGGGAGTCATTGGATTCTGTCGGGGGTTGCTTTCCGCTTCCAGCAGGATCGGAGGTGTGCTAAGGGAGCCCGCCGTCCCGGTCTGCTCCCTAAAGGGCTCAAGGTATACTGGAGAACAGAGGCTAGGATTAAAAGAATTGGGATCACGGGTGAAGCGCTTTAGATGCTTGTGCTCCAAGGTTAGCCTCGTTAAATTTCAGGTGGCTCATTCCTACGTCGATGCTTTACTACTAGGACTTTTAATCTCGAAAAGGTACGGGGGAGTGGAGGTGAGGGGGTCCATGCGTTTTTGCCTAGAAAGGCCATTAGGGACGAATTGGAGAAAACACATAGAAATTGAGTAAAATAGCGAGGCGCAAATTGCAACCCCGCAAGACATGTTTTTGCATCAAGGTGTGTACGGGTATTAACTGACGCCATGTGCGTTCAGTAAAATCCTATCTTGATTCAGCTTGAACAGACGGCTCATTAAACAGCTCATGTGGGTTGTTTTAAGGGGAGATGGGCTGCAAGTTGGAGAGGGGGAAAAGAGCATAAACCGAAGATCATCCATGCAAATAAAATCTTATTTTCTTCCAGTCATTACTGGCCCTTTTCAGATTTTCTAGACTAGAGCTACTATTTCAAAGGTCCTTCCCTCCCCGAGGAATTCTGGGACATGTAGTCTGCATATTTCTGGAGGACACTGGTTGGGGAAGGTTGATCTAAAACTCTTGTGAAAAGTTTAGTGGCTGAAAAGCTTAATCTAATATTGGTCAGCCATGAAGACAATGAATTCCAGACTAGAAATTATTTGGGATAGGATTGAAAATAACATTTGGAGTTCTGTAATCCCCTTGTGCAAACCTGTATAGTTTCCAGTATGAAATATCCTCTACAATGGGATGCATCTCGGTCTGAATAACTGTGGTACAGTTGCTCAACAGTGAACAATTTCTCAAAAAATAAAAATCTGATTATAAAGGGATTGGATAGTTAATGATTTGAGATTCCTGTTTTCATAGCATCTGTGGGAATTCTATATAATAAAAAGTTTTTGAGTACTTAAGCCTAGAATTGAAGATTGTATGAGACTTTTATCCATAGTGTTGCTGGAGGTAGAACTGTTGTCTGTTACTGATGGTAAGCTCCTTTGGGCCCA